CAGGATAATTTATATATTTCAAGTTAATTCATAGTAATTAGAGATAATTCAGGATAATTCATATACTTCAAGTTAATTCGAGATAATTCAAAGTAATTCACGGTAATTCATGATAATTCACGTTACTTCAGATAATTCATATACTTCAAGTTAATTCGAGATAATTCAAAGTAATTCACGGTAATTTATGATAATTCACATTACTTCAGGATAATTTATATACTTCAAGTTAATTCGAAATAATTCATAGTAATTCAAAATAATTCAAGGTAACTCATGATAATTCACGTTACTTCAGATAATTCAAGATAATTAATATATACTTCAAGTAAATTCAAATAATTCGATATAATTCAAAGTAATTCAAGGTAATTCATGATAATTCACATTACTTTAGATAATTTAGGATAATTCATATAATTCAAAATAATTCAGAATAATTCAACACAAGTGTACACCTCAATTGACTAGTTATTTCCCCCTCGTTTGAAGCAGATAACTTGGTGAACGAATTTACCCGCAATAAGCGAAATCACCCCTTTTTACGGAATTTATGCAAATTAATAAAAAAATATTTTTATTAAATTCAAATAAATTACATGTATATAAACTCTGGTTGTATTGATAAACATTTAAAAAAATTATACAAAATATAGGTACCCAGTTTTATAATATTTATAAAAAATTAACAAAATATGGGAAAAAAAAAATTTTTTTAAAAAAATTTTTTTTAACCATTAACTGAATTTATCAGATTGGTGAAATATTTTTTACCATTGTTTTGATTTACCCAACTGCTATTGATAGATTATCTGCAACAGATTGCTCTAATTTTCGAGAGCATCATGGTCAAATAACTTTGAGTGGTGCTAGAGTCAAATTTCGACACCTCTGACACGGTTTACTTACTATAAATCAAGTACCTATCGAATTATCGTCATTTCACTGTCCTATATTAATTACTGCAAAATTTGGTAATTTATCATTCGTTTCGAACGAAATTTATTCTTTGAACTACAAAATTTCAATAATTACAAATTATTATTATTATTATTATCATTATTATTATTAGTTAATTAATAAACTTCTGTTAATTAATTTAAACAATTTTCATTTATTTGTTTAATATAAAAATAAATATAAACAAATTTTAATTTAAAATAATCTACACTGTATTTTTGAATGAAAATTATTTATTTTCTACAAAAAAAAAGAAAACTATAAAAAAAATCCAAAATTAGAATCACACTATGTGTATTTAAATAAATTGTATGCCATTAGTAATTTGGTTCTTTAGATATTTTGGCTAATTAATTAAGCCTGTAATTTATTAGTACTGTTACTGCGGACGTGAAGTTTTGAACTTTTGAATTCTACTGACTCATGACAGAGACAGGTGAGATTTGGCTTCGGATTTGTCCACTCCATGACCTTGCTCTTGATAGACATTGATTAATTTATAATTGAAACTTTAATTCTCAATTCTATTTTCACGTGTACGAAAATGTTAATTACAATATCTCTAAATTCAAAGTAAATATAATTATATAGGAATTATTTTCAAAAAATTACGTTAAAAAAATTATGAAAAAAATATCATAATTAAAATAATGACATAATTTTATTATATACAATAGTTATTATTAATAGAAAAATAATTTTTAGATGAATGTCATATTTCGCAAAAGATAAACAATATCAATATGTTTAATTCACGTGATCAAATTATGTGCTTTCGTCAACAATAAATTAACCTTGATTTGACAGAAGCAATGTTATTATACTTCCGATTAAAATATTATATCCCTTCAGATCGTTATTGGATTCATCACAAGGAAGCTGCGGTGATTTTTCTGACAATATTTAACGCACCTAAGTATATAAATTTTTTTAATATCATTATAATTAATATAAAATAATCCTCTTTACTATTAAAAAATTAACATTACTTATTTTTTTTGAATTTGTAAATTTAAAATAAAGAATAAATCGTTAGATTTTTAATTTCTAAATTCAGAAAATAATAGAAATAAACCTAAATTGTAAATTTTTATTTCAACCAAATAACTTTTTAATTTAATGATTCTATGTTTTTAAATTATTTTTCTAAAAAAACAATAATTTACTATCAAGAGAGTAAAATTTCAATTTATCGAAATTTACCTTGTTTACGGATTCCGATTTTCCAATATTATTAATGATGCATAAATTTAAATTAGAATATAATTTTATGACTTAAATTTTTTTAATGGAACTCGAAATTCTGGAAAAATTTATTGAAATTTGAACTTCTTTTACAATTTCTATTACTTTTTTATCAACAAAGTTTTTTACCCTTTTTTATTCCTCTGAACAATATACCCTAATAACACAAGATATCTTGGGATATATTGATAATATCCCGCAGATATCCTAGGGATGTCCTATGAATATCAAAAGGATCTCTTAAGGATATCCAAAAAATAGGCTGTTTGGATATCCCATGGATATCTGAGGATATCCACAGGATATCTTCTGGATATCTCTATAGACTTTCATAAATGTCCTCCAGATATCCCATAGATATCGTCAGGATATCCCACAGATATCATCAGAATATCCCACAGATATTTTGAGGATATTCTCAGTATATCTTCTGGATGTCAAGAAGATATTTTCAGGATACTGTTTTTAAAGTCATTATGAGACTACGAGTGAGAATATTCTGTGAATTAAATTTTATATAAATAAAATAAAATGCAACTTGTTTTTCGAGAAAGTTGTTTAATTTGAAAAATTATTAACTAATTTTTTTCTTATTCGTGATTCATTCCTTTATTTAATATTGTCAGAAAATAAATTGGCTTTAAACAATATAAATTCTTCCCCGCAATTAACGAATAACTATTAATATTAATTATACGTTAAGTGCATGAGTTTATTTAAAAACATTGAAAAATGCGTTTCAAATCTTCATTTAAAATAAATTAGAAGCTCATAAGATTCTTGTTTTTATTATACTATTATTTATTATATTAGCTTAACAATTTTAAATTTTAAAAATATATGTTGAGATATTAAATATCCCGTGAATATCCTAAGAATATCCCACGGACATCCTGAGGATATCCCATGGATATCCTGCGATATAATATCCAATAGATATTTTGTGGATATCTTAGGGATATTCTGTGGATATCCTATGGATGTCCTGTTGATGTCCCACAGACCGGCGGTTTGGATATCCTAGGGATATCCTATGGATATCCCAAGATATCCTGGGGACCATTCTAGGATATCGACCATTAATATGGATATCCTAGGGATATCCTTTTGTTATGAGGGTAGGTATTTTAAACATTATAATTTTTTTGAAAAAATGAAATGTTAAAAAGTTGAAAATATCTAAAATTGTTAAAAATTATTTTTTAAAAATATTTCATAATAAAATATGGTTTTCATTTCTAAAGAATAAGAAAAGATCTGACTTTTCTAAACAATGTAAATTTTAATTACAATTTGAAATTTCACTAGTGATCTCAAATTCAACTTCTTTCACAATTATTATTTTTTATCGACAATTATTTTAAATTCTTTTTTTATAATTCCAAAAAATCAATCGAATGGATTTTAAAAAATTACTATTTTTACGAAAATAAAAATTCTAAAATCAAAAAAAAAATTTTAATAAAATTGGAAAATTTTAGATTCTAAAAAATTTTTGAAATCAATTTGCGTTTGTTTAGAATATAATTATTACGATAGGGTAAAATTTGATTGGTCCTTTCTCTTAATGCATTATTTAGTTTTAAATAAACATTTTAATTGAGACAAATAAATTTTTTTTTCTCCATGAAAAATATTTTCTTAATACTTAAATAAAATTTTTTAATATACAAATATTTATTTAATTTAAAAGAAATTACATTTTTTAGTTCTTATTTTTTTACTTAAATTATTTATTTATTAATTAAGCTTCAGCCTTTCGGCCCAGAAGTGGACTTGGTTTAATACAAAATTAAAAAAATATATTTTTTTTTACTTAAATTGTAATTTATTAATTTATCATAATATTTGATAAAATATTTTCAAAATTAAAAAAATTATAATTTAGTTAATTATTTAGAATGAAGTAGAAAAAAAGGAACCCAGTTGGAAAAATTGTTGTAGAGTGACTATCAAATAGTTAGTCATTATATTGAAAAAATATAATAAATTTTTATCAGTAACTGTACTGAAAAAAAATGGACTTTTTTCAAAAAAAAAAAAAAAAAGTTAAGTTCTTGACACTTTTGGACAATTATTCTAAATCTAAAAGTTAAAAATAATTAACTGCAAAAATTTTTTAAAGCTTTCCAAAATTTTTAATAATTTTTTACAAGATTAAATTTTTTTAATCTAAATTTTTTCGGAGTTTCGTTCAATGTATTTTCTAAAGAATTACGCAATCTAGTATTTAGCGACGACAATAATATTAATGCGGCCAATTGATTATTGTTATTTCCTTTTATGTTAATTAGTACTTTGTACGATTGGGCAAAGTTGTTATTGCCCGTTTGTATTAAATAAATAAATAAATTAAAATTTTTCAATATTGATAAAATTCGAAAGTTAAAAAAAAACTAAATAAATTATTATCTATACCTAAGAAATTTTTTTTTGCATTTTAAAAATATTTTAAATTTTTTCAAAAAAAAGGATTTTTAAAAAAACTTTTTTTTTTTTGAGCATAAAAATTTTTTTCTTCTTTTTTTCAAGTTGAAAAATTTTTAGTCCATTTTTTACACCAACAAAAAAAATAAAAAGTGAATAGGACAAAAAGGAGTATAGTGAACTTGTAAAATGCTTTTTTAAGAAAGTCGTTCACGGTTAATGCTAAAATTGAGGGACGTTGTCATCGGGGTAGTGACAAGAGTGAGGCCAAGAATCACACTATACATGACAAAGTCTGTGTGCCAGAAGAGGCCCTCCCTCTCCCATCCCCCCTCCATACTCTATTCCGATACAATTTTCACAAGGGGGAGGTCAGGGGAAGGTCGGGAAAATGTTATAAGCTAAAATAAAAGCAAAGAAACAAGACAAGGGGCCTCGGGTGTGACAAGAACCTCGAACCACGAGGGTGTTTTTTTTTATAAAAAAGAATCAGTCGGTGCAGGTGCTTCAAACGTAGCGGGTTTTCAAAACAGGTTCGTCATACTATTGTAGTTTTTTTTTTTTTTTTTGAATACCAATTTTTTTGAATTTTCATTCAAAGTGCTTTAAAAAAAAAAAAAAAAAAAAAACAGTGCAAGTGTTGAGAAAAAAAATTTATTTGATCAATAAATTTTTACTCAAAATAAATAGTGATTAATAAATTTTTGGTTCTTCAAAATTAAAACAAGGATTATTTTAATTGCATAAGAAGTTTTCTTTTAATTGTATATTAGTGGATTTTTTTTTAGTGACTGTTTTGGTTGGAAGTAAATTTTTGCTCCGTGAGTGTTGTAATTCAATTGGTGCCAATCAGGCCAGTTCTTTTTCTAAGCTATATGTGAATCAGTGCGCGCTTCCAATTCATGTCTCTAACGCTTTTTAGGATCGTTGCGGAATCAACATTGGATTACCAATTCTAATTTTCAGTGACTTTATTCATTAAATAGATCATAAAAATTGAAAAATTTTGTTCATTGATTAAAAATTTAACGTTTGTTCTAAAATTTTTTTTTTTTGTAATTCGCAAATCTTAACTTGGATTAAATTTTTTTTCTAATTTAATTATTTTTCTAAAAAAAAAAAAAAAAAAAAAAGTTGTCAAAACTTTTACTTAAATTACTTTTACTTAGTCATTTACTTTTGAATAAGACATAAAATCGTTTAGAATGTAGAAACACTAGTCAAAAAAAAAATTTACATTGATTCGTTAACCAAAATATAAAATACATACTTTCACTAAGATTTAGAAAAAAAATCAAATTTCCGATGATAGTCCAAAAATTTTTAGATTGGAGGGCAAAGAAAACTTTTTTTAAAATTTTTTTTCACAATTATTGGTAATTTTCTACACTGATTAACACTTACACAGTTTGGATAGAAATACAGTACTTAAATACACGAAAATAAATCCTTTTTTTGGTTAAGAATCATCTCACAATCTTGTTGACAATAGGCCAACGCACAATAGATTCGCGAACGAGATGCATGAGATAGAAAAGGATACAAATATATCCCTGTCCTTTTTAACCTATGTTTCACGGCCTAAAGGTGCTTTTATACCTCCAGTATTTTGGTCAAGCAATCGGCTTGATTGAATTTTCACAGCTGTATCACTGAATTTGATAGGCTCTGACTAATATTCGATTTCCACCGTGAAAATGGAATATTTTTAGAGCCAATCAAATTCAGTGATTCTCCGTGAAAATTCAATCCAGCCGATTGCTTGACCAAAATACTGGAGGTATAAAAACACCTTAATAAATATAAAATAATTAGTGGAACATCTGAATTGTGACACTTTCCAGGGAATAGTAACTTTTTTTTCGATATATGGCGGGGAACTAGAGTAGAGAAAAGCAGGGTGAAGCAGGTTTCAAAAATATAAAAATATGTCATATTTCGGACGATCTACTCGAGACGCTTGCTTTTCACCGAACGGTCAATACGTCGAACAGACAAAATGTTGAATGGCAAGTTGTCGAATGGACAAAATGTCGAAAAGCTAATACGTCGAACAGGCAAAATGTCGGAAAGCCAATACGTCAAACTGACAAAATGTCGAAAAGCCAAAACCTCGAAAAGCCAAGAAGTCGAACAGTCAATACATCGAACAGACAAAATATCAAAAAGCCAAGTCATCGAACAGCCAATACGTCGAACTGACAAATTGTCGAAAAATTTTATTGACTTAACTATAATTATACTTAAATCAATAAATTTTTTCGACATTTTGTCATTTCGACGTATTGGCTGTTCGACGACTTGGCTTTTCGATATTTTGTCCGTTCGATGTATTGACTGTTCGACTTCTTGACTTTTCGACATTTTGACCGTTCGACGTCTTGGCTTTTCGACATTTTCTCTGTTCGATGTATTGGCTTTTCGACATTTTGTCCATTCGACATTTTGTCTGTTCGACGTATTGACCGTTCGGTGAAAAGCAAGCGTCTCGATCTACTCGAATTTCTGGGAAAACTTACATGCGCAATAGCGTAATAATCAGTTCAGGTTAGGTTAGGTCATAAAGAAAATATCATGGAGTAGTATAAGGAGACCCAACGACGTACATTGAAAGTGGACCAAATTTTGGTAACCGCTTAGTGTCATGGAAAGACGTAATGGAACACAAGCGCTCTCGTGGGAAGTATGTAAACAGTGGGAAAAATTAGAAGTACGTTGAACATAACCCAAAAATACATTGCTCCTTATTTTAAAAACTTTTACAATAAGGTTATTCAAGTTGGGTGGGGGAAAGCCAAGATGGATGATGGCTGGTGCACAATCAGCCTATCAGCATTCATTCCCAGGAGAAATTTCTCGTGGGAATGAATGCTGATAGGCTGATTGTGCACCAGCCATCATCCATCTTGGCTTTCCCCCACCCAACTTGAATAACCTTATGGCTGACTGTCCAGCTGAGTTTAACACAATCAGTGGCGCTAGTGTTCCATTACGTATTTTCATGACACTAAGCGGTTACCAAAATTTGGGCCACTTTTAACGCAGATTTAATATTGTTGTTCGGTCTCCTTATACTACTCCATGGAAAATATATTTGTACACCAAAAGAAATATCATACTATTATCGCATAGACTTTCTCATTCCATTTTTTCATGGATTTAGTATACGTAATTTTCTCGGAATCTATGCGGAAAACACATGTGTCTTATAATTATGAGCCGAAAGTTTTGAATGTTCAAATGAACGAAATATTTTTTTCAATCTATAAATTATTAAAAATTATAATGGCCATGTAAAATAATACAATAAATTTTATTAAATTAATAACTTCTTTTCAGATATTTAAAACAATATTTTGTATTAAAATTCGTACTTAAGGGAATGTGCACAGAAAAAACGTTGGGTAAATTTTGTTGCGGGTAATTTTCACCAATGCTAATTCACATAGACGGTGGCGCCCTCAACTAGGATAAAATTTGTTGCAGGTAATTTTTATACCGATTTTGGGGTAAAAATTCTACTTTTTTTTTCGTGTGTGGGTAAAGGACGCTTTTTTGTGGTTTGAAACTTTCTCTGAAATAAAAAATGATTTTGGGTTAAAATTTTGGAGTAATGATTTTGTTCGGTACAAGAAATCTCGCTATTCTACTCATTTACCATAACTTAACACAAAAATAATAAAAATAAAGCAATAAATAGTAAAATAATGTATTTAATCGTAGTACATTGAGCGGCCACTTGCTCGAATTGTCGCTGTTTACTGGAGCACTGACACACTCAAGCAACGTCTGTGTATGCGCCGCCATGTTTCTTTTCATTTTCGTTTAAAAATCACACTTTTTAAACTTCATTTTTTAATAATTTAACGCAAAATTATGTATTTTTCGGAGAACAGCGAGATTCCTTGTACCCTAATCTATCATCCTTCAAAATTATAAACAAAAATATTTTCTTATATTAGAGTGAAATGTATACTACCAAAACACATTTTCCCATATACTAGGTCACGTGGGAGGTTCCCACATACCCTTAAAGAAGTTGCAAAAAAAATTTCGTTCATTTAAACCTTCAAAACTTTTGGCTCATTTGTAATTTGTACATGGACACATGCGATTTTGGCATGGAATCCTAGTGAATTATACACATATGTATGTGAGTACATTATTCACATCGGTTGTCTATGCGCGATGAAAAAAATTTAATATTAAATCGAAAACAACTGATCATGTATTGATTTCTAAAAATTCTATAACTCATTTTTAATATTTCAAAAATGTTTTCAAGTTTTTAAAGAACGTTAATTAAACCTTCACCCAAAAAAAGGTATACTATCCAAAAGTATAAATGACTAGGCAATGAAAATTTCATCAACTTTTTTTTTGTCGTGTAGAAATTATTAAATTATTTATTCTTTTCATTTTTAACAGAAAATCGTTTTGCTGTTTAGAATTTTAAAAAAACAAAATAATGGATGACGAACCACCGGCATGGGATATAGGAGGAGACGACGAAGCACCAGCTTGGGATGCTGGTGCAGGAGATGCTGCAACTGGTGGAGATACAGCTGCAGCAGCTGATGCACCTGTAATAGTAATACCCTCTGGACCCAGAGAAAAATGTGATCCCCCCCATTATACTCTTCATTGGGTTCGACCCCTATTTCTCAATTACCGCTATCTCTATGACTACAGGTATAAATAAAAATTAAAAATATATTTAATCTAAAAAAAATTTAATAAAATACATAAGTACGATTCCAGGTGAGATTTGGACTTTTTCGGAGTAGGTTAACCGATTGCAATGAAACTTTGAAATTTTGTTATATATAGTAAGACTAATCTTTAACGTAAATTTCAGCTTAAAATATTTGTTAGTTTACGAGATTTGCAATAATAACAAAAAATTTTAAACTGCTATATTTTCCGTTCTAATAATCGGATTGAGGTCTACTTTTTTTTAAAATGTCAAGGAAAATGAGAGGAACTAATCTCTTTCAGAACAATTTTTATAATTTTACAACTAAAAAAATTATTAAATAATAATTGAATAAATTTCACGCGACAATCTAAAATTCAATCACTTAAACGCTAAAATGATCTTAACTGTGTTTTCTTTAATGTTCCAAAGGAATCCAATTGTAAATGCAAGTTTAACTTGGTTAATTTTAATAATTTACGAGTATAAACAATTGCGATTTCTGCTAGTTGACGTGCAGACGACATTGCGCACGCAGCATTTTCACGTAGCCAATTTAGTCCACGAATCACGTCAGCTGGTTACAAGAGAATGCTGCGTGCGCAATGTCGTCTGCACGTCAACTAGCAGAAATCGTAATTTTTTATACTCGTAAATTATTAAAATTAAATAAGTTAAACTTGCATTTACAATTGGATTCCTTTGGAACATTAAAGAAAACACTGGTAAGATCATTTTAGCGTTTAAGTGATTGAATTTTAGATTGTCGCGTGAAATTTATTCAATTATTATTTAATAATTTTTTTAGTTGTAAAATTATAAAAAATTGTTCTGAAAGAGATTTATTCCTCTCATTTTCCTCTCATTTTTTTTAAAAAAAGTAGACCTCAATCCGATTATTAGAATGGAAAATATAGCAGTTTAAAATTTTTTGTTATTATTGCAAATCTCGTAAACTAACAAATATTTTAAGCTGAAATTTACGTTAAAAATTAGTCTTACTATATATAACAAAATTCCAAAGTTTCATTGCAATCGGTTAACCTACTCCGAAAAAGTCAAAATCTCACCTGGATTCGCACATAAGGCCAAGTTAAAAACAAAAGAATTATTCGCATAAATGTTATTTGAAAATAATTTCTATGATTATAGACAAAATTATTATAACGACGTAATCGACTGGATGAATAAACGAAATAAGGGAATTTATCGTGAGGAGCCACGAGCTCAGGAATGGGCGGAGAGAGCAATAAGAATGTATCATTTGAATAATAAGAATCCAAGTGTAAAACGATCAGCGGATATGCGTGAAATAACTCAGATGAGACATACCATCAGACACTACAGTTATCATACTCGAGCATATTACAGCCTCAAGTACATGAAGATTCTTTGAGAAAAAAGTCTTCAACAATGTCTTATCGCCGCAATAGCGAAGAAAATGCAACAAAAATAAATGGAAATTAAAATAAATTTTATAAAACAATTTTAGACCAATATTAATCATTATAAAAATAATATATAATAAAATTAATACTTATATATCGAATGTTTAAATATTTTAATATTAATTAATATCTAAATTAAAATAATATTACAAGGCGATAATTTATTAAATTTAATATATTTAAATAATTTAATAAGTAAATTATTTAAATATTTTGAATTTCTAATTAGAAACAAAATTATAAATTTAAATTATTTATTTCAATAATTCTGAAAAAAAAATTTATTTTTTTTGTAACTGAAAATATTTTGATTTTGAAATTATTAGAAACAAACTAATTGGATTAGGTTAAAAATGTTGCACCTGCTTCAACTTAGAGAATGATATTTTTTGTTAAAATGGCAAATGCATCGACGTTAAATCATCGAGCGGCGATTTGTCGATATTCGTTATTATTTAAAATTTTATTTCTGTTATGTACACAGTAAATATAAAATAGTGAAATTACAATAATTATTAATTTGATTATCAGAAAAATTTCACTGATTTGAATTTAAAGTGTATAAAATTAATAATTTTATTATTATTATTGAATATTTATTTCTCTTCATAAAAAATTGTGAACGATAGTTTCAAATCAATATTATTATTATTGTTATCAGTTTATTATTATACAAAACTTAAGACAATTTTATAAGAACAGTCTCTAAATTCGAGCATTTTAATACATCAATTACTTTATTATTTGGATTTAGATTTGCATTTAAGAACAAGGGATTTAAAACGTGATTTCGAAAATATATTTTCGTAATAAAATTGAACTTTGCATAAGAAATTTTTTTGAAAAAATTCAATTTATTATACGAAACTCCCATGAATCCTCTTAAGTTTTAGCAATACGATCCAAAATATTGTTTATGAGAAATAGCGGGACTGTTCTTGCAAAATAACGAGGTTCATTTTTTTTTCTTTTTCTTGACAAATTTTAATATTAATCAAACAATTTGTTTAAAAATTAATTTTGAAAAATTTTTATAAAAAAAAGAAGATAAAAAATAACTTAAATAAGACTTCAATAAGATGAAAATCAAACAAATTATAAAAATTTTTCAAAATTATCTTTAATAAAAAGACAACTCTTTAATGTAAAAGAATAAAAAATTTTGAAAGCTATCGAGTATTTTTGCTTCCTTGTAAATACATAGGATTATATTTTCATGCCTATTAAAATTAAATTAAATACAGTTCTTATCGAAAAAAAAGGGAAAATTTTTCGAAAAATTGATATCCATTCTTTTCTAGCATCAAAAATTAAAGGAAAAATATAGTAAAACTGATTACAAAATTTATTTTAATTAAGTTTTTTTTCAAATAATATAATTTCGTATTATTTCATGCAAAAATAATTTTTGACCTAAGGAGCTTAAAGTATTATTATTATTATTATTATTATTATTATTATGAGTAAATTACAGGAAAAATTAAAATTCTTCTTATTATATTAAGTTCAAGAAGGACAGACAACGACCGACAGTTTTTCTTCAAATTTTAAATTCACATGCATAACATACATAAATTTTTTTTTTGCGCGATTTACAAAAAAAATGTTTATATTTTTTCCATTTTTTTTCCGCTAATAGCACGTAAAATACGTCTCAATTTCAAAATTTAGATATCAGCATTCATTTTTCAAAAATTTATGGCGATTTTCAATTTCTTCAATATCCTTATTATATTAAGTTCAAGAACGATCGATACCACCACAAAATTTTCGTTTTGTTAAATAAATTATTTACCTTAGCTCCCAAAAATTTAATTTTCAGTTTTATATGGGAATCGGTAGTATTTAAGTTGCTTTTTCATATACAAAAGTCAAAAATTGTATTTTTTTAATTGATTTTTTTGTAATAAAGCTTTAAACATGACCATGTCAATCGCGTTCTACCACGGACTACGGAAACCATCCCCACCACCACTACTACTAGTATACTTGTCGTATCCGTGAACTGTAGGAGCGATGTAGTAGTAAGATAGTGGGGCTAATTTTGGCTGGCGCCTCTCAGCCAATCAGAACGCTCGACTTTAAACGCCTTTCCTGTAAAATTTTGTTTTAAGGCCAGGTCCAAGTGAGGCAGCGCCATCTACATTGATACTAAAATTTTGGAAAATTTTCAACAGCCTTTTCTTGAAAACAAGATGGTAAAATGCTTTTTCCTTTATGGATAATTGATTATTGGCAAGATACATACCAGCTAAAACTTTTTTTAAGTTAAAATAATAAAAAAAATTTCATGTCAATAAATTAAATGAGCACTTTTTTCACAAAAACTGTAACAGTACTTTCTCAGAAATTACAATCAAAAATGCAATTTCCATTTGGAAAATTAATAAACGCTAAAAAATACACGACCTAAGATTTACCAATCACGAAAATAACAAAAAAAAATTTTATTAAATATTTAACATATTGATACTGCTTTACTGATTGTGACAGCCCTTTGGTAGATTATGTATTTCAGGTGGTTAGCAACAGCGCCAATCTCCTCCTTTCGGCAAAACTGCGAAACGTCTGGTGACATATATAACCTGCCAAACGGCTGTCATAATTAGTAAAATATGTTATGTTAAAAAATTTTTTTTTTTTTTTATTTTCGTGATTGGTAAATCTTAGATCGTGTATTTTTTAGCGTTTATTAATTTTCCAAATGGAAATTGCATTTTTGATTGTAATTTCTGAGAAAGTACTGTTACAGTTTTTGTGAAAAAAAGTGCTCATATTTAATTTATTGACATGAAATTTTTTTTATTATTTTAACTCAAAAAAAGTTTTAGCTGGTGTATATCTTGCCAATAATCAATTATCCATAAAGGAAAAAGCATTTTACCTTCTTGTTTTCAAGAAAAGGCTGTTGAAAATTTTCCAAAATTTTAGTTTCAATGTAGATGGCGCTGCCTCACTTGGACCTGGCCTTAAGGTGGTTCCAGAATAGGTTCAAAAGCCAAGTACAAGTGCAAGTCTAAGTGACAATCTTATGAGTGCGAAAGAGATAGGTAGGGTATGTCTGTTAAATCACATTTTTCAATTTGAATTGTTTACTTAATTTAAGAAATACAAAAAATTTACAATAAATTATTCATTTTTTCAAAGTGCATTTTATCCTTCAATAAAAATGATCAAAATCGAGATCGTTTCTATATAAAAAAGTAATGAAATAGTAATTTAAAACATTCCGATTAGGAATAAGAGTACGGGAAGCATGAGATAGAAAAGGACAGATATATAGTTTCGGTCCTTTTTTTGTCTCATGTTTCCCGTACTCGTAATCGTCACACGTCACCGGAATCATTCTGCTTACACTGTAAAAAAGGCAAATGTTAAATTACAATCGGGTTTTAATTAAAATTTTTACGGTTTTGTAATTTCACTATGATACACCTAATAATTTAACATGCTGACAGAAATTTTACAATTAAGATGTAAATTTATTATGTTTATAATTGTAAAAATGTCTCCTGTTAGTAATTATACAACCCGATGTTAAATCACAACGTGAAACGTTGGAAACTTTTTACTTCACGTATAACGTTGTAAATTAACATTCGAATGTGAATATCAATTCTGTTGTAATTCTACATACAGGTTGTTCATGTTCGACGATGAACAAGGTTAATTTTCTGCCCGTTTGTATATAATCCACACACTGTAAAAAGACTTAATGGAATTTTACCACTTTGAAAGTGGGAAAGATTATTACCCACTATCAGAACGGCACTTTTACTGTCGATGGGAATAAAATTTTTAGGTTATGTAATTTTCCAGACGAGATGGGAAAATTGCCACGAACTGTACAGTTACACTTTCTGGTATTTTAAACGCAGGAGAAAGTAAATATACAGACATCAGTAATGTTACCGACTGAAATAAAATTGCTTTGAAAAAAGAGTACTTTTCCGAAATTTTATAAAATATTAAATTTTTATGTTTATAAAAATATAGGAATAATTTATACTTTTTATGCGATTACGATGAAGGTATTTACTTTTAAGTTATTAATATTCGCTAAAGAATTTTATAAAATAAAAAGAAAAAATAATTATAAACACAATTAGACTCTATATTTTATTCCTATATTTTTGCACAAGAAACATTAACATTTTTATTTTTCATATTCAAGTTTAATTTAAATTATGAACAAAAACTTTTATGAATTGTCCTATGTAAGGATAAAATAACTCGTGTCGTAAAATTTTACCATTTTTACAATCAAAAAGACAATTGTCGATGAATGCCGACTGCTGCCGGGCATTAATGATTGCACACGACGCATAAATCGTAAATGTATGCGTATATTATGAATTTCAATATTTGGGAATTTTCCAAAAATTGTTAATATTACTTTTAAAAAATGGTAATTTTACACGCTAATGTATTTTTCTAAAGAAACGGGAATATTACCAACACTTGTGATTATACTACATTAAAAACAGGAAAAATACTACAGTGTGGAATTGTCATTTTTGCTTTAGTAAGGTTACGTTCGCCAATGGTAATTTTCCCATCTAGTGCAGTTTCACAGCCTTCAGTCATTTCGTCCTTTTGAAAGTGGGTAACATTATTACCCACTTTAAAAGTAGGAATTTCGCCGAGGAATGGAAAATCCCAATATTCGAAATAGTAAAATTACCAAATATTGTATTTTCCATTTTGGACCCTGTATTATTTCTGCATTTAATATAGTATTTGTGCCATGGATTCTTAAAAGTAAAATTCCTATCTTTGGGAAAATTCTGTTTGGACTTTTTACAGTGCAGGTGGACAAGTCAAAATTAACCTAAAAAGCATCTCAAATAATGTTTTTTTATTTTATTTATGTTTAATCTTATCCGTTTATTTTATTAATTTATTTGTTATTGTCTAGATTATTGAAAGAAAATTACGAATAATATTTTATTATTTCATTTGTTAACTTTTATTTTATTGAAAAAAATATATTTTTGATACTAAAATTCTGAAAAATTACAAACGGAAGATGATACAAACAGTTTGTAAAAATCAACATTCTGGCTGTAAAAGTCCAACGTTGCACGTGAATAGAAAAATTTCGTTGTAAAAGAAAATACGTTGTAAATTAACATTTGGCATTTTTTTTTTAAACCATTTTTCAGTTTTAAGGTTATGTTAGTGTCTCCATTCTTCACAAAAAAAGAAAAAAAAACTGCAGCTTTGAAGAAATAGTTGAATGAGATTTTCTTTAGTAAATAATGTACTTTATCAAATGTCAGAATGGATAAGTTTTTCTCTTCCGTTTTTTGTGACTAATATACAAACCTTGTGCGCAACAAAGGCCAGAAGGGTTAATTAGAGTATATAGAGTTTACGAGTAACCGCCTGTGTTCATGTGGTAATCTCTGTAACCTACTTGCGACAACACGCAAACTTCTCGACGATCGTATACCAAACTCATAAGGACTGGAAAACTCGATTAAAACATTACCTCGAACCGTGAAAGATAGCATTCCATCACCTGAAGAAAAACAAAATATTAAACAGTATCGAATTTCATTAAAAACAATTCATATATTATGAAAAATATTTATTAGTTATTCTTTATAAAAAAAAAACTAATTTTATTTAATTTAAATATTATCATTATTTATCAATCTTTCGTTTTACAATAATTTATATTGGAATCGACTTGTCTTGTTACTTACTTATGTATTACCAAAAGGAAAGATGATAAAATTCTGTTTCTTTAAAAGGAAGTTATAAAACATTTTATATATAACTTTCACTAACTTCTATAAAAGTCTTTGACTTTAAAAAGATAAAGTTCTTAACTTATAAATGTTGTATAATGAGCTTTATTATATATTTCTCGTTTTTTCTACAGGAAATATTTTTCAAATTCCATTTTTATCAGAAATATTTTTAAAAGTTATGCCAGAATTTTTTTTTTCATAAAAAAATGTTAAAATTATTCATAGGATTTTTTATATTCAATTATTTTTTTACAAATGCAAAATTATTTAAAATTTAAATAATTCAAGCAGAAAATTTGTATTGAAAAAAATATCTATTTTTTTTTGAAAGAATCGCAAAAAAAATTAAATGAAATAATAAAAAAGGTTTTTTATGACAAATATGAATTTTTATAATTAATAAAGAAATACGTTACCTTTTTTTAAAAAAGTAAAGTAAAAAAAAAAATTTTTTTAAACCTTTTTAATAATACAATAAGTACAGGAATATAATTAGCTCCTTCATGTAAAAAATAGCTGATGGATAAAAATTTATCAAGACTCAGGAAGATATATACGTATTTTTTCCGGCTGGAAAAATGAATAACGATCTTTATGCAACATCTATAAATGTCGTTAGCTTTTATAATCCATTAAAAAGTAGAAGAAAAAAAAACTGTTAAAAGGATTAAATTTTTCATTTCTTTGTAAAATTATATTATATAGAAAAAGAAAATGCAATTTTTTTTTAATTTCCTTTGAAACACTTTATTATTAAGTTTTGCTGTGCAAATTTCTTTTTTCGTTTTGTACAAAAAAACAATCGCGCACAAATCTTGATACAATATTTTTCAGAAGATTTTGCACTTCTGTTCAAGAATTCATTTTTATTACAATTCTTTTAAAAATTGTCAAGAATTTATTTATTTTATTTTTTTTTTTTTGAAGGGAAAAAAAAAGAAAATTTCTAATATTTGGCAGCAAAATAACAACTTGTCATCTATATATACTGTCAAGTTCTTTTTTTTCAAAAAAACAAAAAGGATATTATCCGCACTAATTAATTAATATTTAAGAAACAAAAATAAACTCTTGTGCGAAATTGCGAGTCATCTCTATTCTTGACTACACTCGTAAATATCAGCGGCTATTTCGAAATCTAAATTATTAATAATTTATTAATAACACTTTCGTATACTGCATTTTGGCAACTTTTTGAAATTTTACAAAAAAAAAAATAAGTAATAATTCGAAACTTTGAAAAAAGAATCGTTAATGATTAATTTGAAATTGAAATCCAAAAAATAGTTGTTTTTCATCCGAACACATTTAAAACTTTCTTGACTTGCATAAAATTTAAATTCTCTAAATTCAATTGGAAAATTCAATTTGAAATTTTGTAATTAGATTTTTTAATTCAATTTGTAGAAAGTCAAAATTGCATTTTAGGTTTCAGATTCAAAATAATCTTTATTTATTCTTTTTATTCTTCAAGACTTTATGATTGTCAACAGAAAAAAAAGGAAAAATAATTTTTTTAGTCTTGAAAATTAAATTTTTTTTTTTAATAATTTGAATAATTTTTACCGAAGAGATAACCGCAGGCAGCAAAAGAGTAGGAAAATATCTTGACAACGTATTATTTCTTTTTTTTGAACAATATTGTGCTTTTGATTTGAAGAAAAATATTTTAGAAGAAGATAACATTTACATTTTTTTTTTTTTTTTTGAAAAGGGACTCTATACACTATTTTGAGATGTTTCGCAATTTAAAACTCTTTTCTTTTGTTTAACAATAATACAATATTTAAAATGCTTTTGCAAAAATTCAATATTACATAAAATAAGTGTTTCAAATATAAATGAATGAATTTTTTTTTAAAAATCTCTAAAATAAAATTAAATTAAACTAATAATTATGGAAATAGATAAATTATATGTATATATATATATATATTAATTATAAATAAGTATTGATATATAGATAATTAATAAATAAGCCTTAATTTACGAAGCATCAGTAAATATATATATACGTAGACGGTATTTTTGAATTTTATAAGCAATGCCTGTAATTACATAACATAATATCTATTTTTCTTTCTTGGCTTGTAATTATTATTACATCAACATGATAATAATTAGCGCGATATTCAATAATAAAGTTCGCTGATCTCTCATCACTTTTGAAATATTCACAATTATATATATAATAATATAAATTGAAATTACTTATACGACGAATCTTTACAATTAATAAATTGTACGCAACATTTGTTTTTTCCGCATATTATTTTGCAAATTATAAATTTCTTACTATATAATAATTATAATATTGTAACCATTTTTCTCTGATACGAAAATTTTCACTTGTGTTGAAAGTGAAATATGTTCTGCACAAAAGAAGCGAGAAAGATTTTTATTTTTTTTTGTGCTTTTGTGATATAAATCGAAAAGTGTCATATATAGTTTCAATTCCGTCGATAGAATTAATAGGACCACAATATGTTGCGTATTAAAGTTTGTGCTAAGCGATAAAAGGAAAATTTAAAACGAGTAAGTTCACACACTGAGTGCCTTCAGACTTCGTTGTAAGGCAACATTGGACAAGATTTTTCAAATCGTTATTCTTTTCTCGTTATGCATTTTATTATTATTATTATTATTTTTTATTATTACTATAGGACATTTTTTAAAATTGTTAAAAATTTCTTTTAAATTCAATAAAGATAATAAAATTTATATATATATGACGGACGCAACAAAATTTTTGAAACGTTTAATTGAATTTCCATGAATTTGAAAATTTAATTTTGTTTTGATTTTAATAAAATTTTTAATTTTTTTTTTTTTATCAAATTAAGACTTTAATATTGCGATAGCAATTATTTCCCTACAACTTTCATAGAAATTTAAAATTCAAGAAAAAAAAAATTTTATATAACAAAATATTAAAAAAAATTTTATATTTATTATTCTAAAAAGCTGAAAAAATCCACTGAAATTTAGATTGTTCGCTGACATTTTTTTGTCCAAAAATTGTTGACGATTTTAAAATGATGCTACAATGAATTTTAAAAAAAGAGAAAAAAAAATAATTATTAGCTCTTAATGTTTTTTTTTAACAGAACTCGAATATAATTTTTTGGAAAAATAAAAATTTTAATCTTCTTCCATTATTTTTTATCGTCAATTTTTTAACGCTTTTTTTCATGATTCTGAACTTTCAATTGCATAGTTTTTAAAATTTTTTTAATGTTTCGAAAATAAAATTCAAAAATGGTCAAAAATTATTCTCCTTCAATTTTTAATAATGAAATATGGTTTTAGATTTCAAAAAAAGGCAGAAATTAATTGACATCTCTAAATAATGTTAACTTTAATTAGTATTGGAATTTTACAAATGATTCTTTTAAAATTCAACTTTTACAATTTTAATTAGTTTTCATCGTGTAAATTTCGATGAATTAAAATTTTATTGGTTTTGAATTTTTGATAAATTTTAATAATAAATTTCATTTTTCATTATTTAATTTATAAACAATTATGAAAGGTATTTTAACATTACAATGGCAATAATAAAGTCTAGCGGAAAATCGATCAAGAATAAATTTTAAGGAAATTAATTTTTAAAATTTCTTTTTTAATTTTTAATTATATATATAATAAAAAAAAAATATATTTTTTTATTGCAATTTATCAAAAGATTTTCTCGAAGAAACTTTTTCTTCTCTTCTTTTTTTTTGATGTCAAGAGATAAAGAATATAAACGGAAAGAGAGAGAGAGAGAGACAGATATCGTTGCAAACTCGCGATGGGATTGGAAATTCAATTAATTTACTTGAGCTAAAACGAATCAGACAAGTTATGAATTTTCCGAGCGGGTTACAAATCGTTATGAAATAATTCTGAAGTTATAAATTTTTTCGCACGAACTCGTTTGAAAAATCTCTCAATTTAGATTTAAAAACGTAAACATCCCGATTTTTCACCTGTATGTATTTATTTATTTATTCATTTTTTTTTTAATCTTATACAAAACTGCTTTTCCACTTTCAGCGAAACTTTTAAAAATCGTCGCAAAAATCGAATTGCAGTAAATAACGTTTTTTTTTTTTCTAGGATATTGTAACAGTAGTTTTTTTTTAAATTTAGAGACAAGTTTTTTTTTCCTGAGGAGAAAAAGGACACTAACGAGAAATAGAGAGAGAGAGAGAGATAGAGAGAAATAGAAAGTGCATCTCTATTGTAAACATGCATAGTAAAATTATTCATAGTAGTGTGCGATTTTTTTTTTTTTTATTATTCAATTTATTTTTCCCCGCTATCCAGGATTTCATGTATTTTTCTTTTTTTTAATTCTCGTAATGTGAAATAGTTTTCTTTTTTAAAATTTAAGAAACAAGCAAAAATTTTCCATCTCGACCTTTCTTTTGCAAAATTGGTAAATTTTTTTTTTTTTTTTTGATTTACAATATATTTGCAAAGAATTTTCAAAGCTAAAAGAATAAAATTTGAGAAATATTAAAAAAAAAAGAAATTTTTTTAAATTATTTCAAACTTTATTATTATAATAAAAAAAAATCGAAAATATCTATCGCAAAATTTTTTTTGTTTTTATTTTTTTTTGTTTTACGTAAGACTAATTAATTTGAGGAACTTTTCATGAAAAAGAGGTCGAGCATGGGATAAAAGCGAACGATAGGCGCGCACATTGTCGATCGAAGGCGAATCCACGTTCGGGATATATTTTTTATTTTTCTTTTTTTTTTTTAGTATAAAAGTTATTTGGAATCCGTATTTATAATCGCGAGGGTTCGTTATTTTTGTTAATAATTATAACAATCGCCTTTTTATCTCAGCTTTTTTTTTCAACTGCTCTCTATATAGTAATGCGAAAACAGCGCATTATTGACTTTAACTAGGAAAACATTAACGTTAAAGAAGTTCAATAAGTATAAGAGAATCTTTTTTTTTTTTCGATAGAGGGCAAAGCACTTGCTGCTGCGGTATTGAAATATTTTTTTTATACAATATAATTCGTTTAGTAATCGTTAACTTTAAGATTTATTTTTAAAATCTGTCATTTATTTTTTTTTTTTTACTTTAATGAGGTTAATAATTTCTTTCTTTTCTCTCGTATATATATATATATATTTTTTTTTTTATATATAATATGCTTATCTGCGTGATATTTGCAGATATTAGAGTTTGATATAATTATAATTGTTTTTTATTTTTTTTTTTTTAGACTTATCTACTAATGAGCACGAGACGAACAGATTTACACCTAGGAAGTACAATAGAGACTCTTGGTTTTTTTTTTAAATTTTTTTTTATCAACTTAATTAGTAGAGAGAATTTTCATTGACAAAAAAAAGAAGTGTATTATAAGAATGAAATTAAATAAAAAACAAAACTCTAAATTAAAAATTCTTTCTTGTTCTTTAAAATTGATTTTTTTTTTTAAATATTCAAAGAAAGAAATCTATGAAAGCAAAACAGGATATTATCACACGCAAAATAAAAACCTAGATTCTTCGCTAATTTTTTTTTTTTTAATAAATCAATGAATCATCGTCGTCGAAACTTTTTTTTTAATCATCTTTTTCCATGTTGCGATGCAGTTTCTTTTACAGTTTACACACAAAAACCTGTTCAAGTTACACAACTTTGCACCCTAGTTTCCTTTGTTATTTTCTTTTTTTTTTTCTTATTCTTTATATTATAATTTCATATATGACACAAATACGTGTCATCGTTATAGATTCGCTATTGCATTCTGGCGAAGTCACACATTCATTTTCTCCGCAATCACGCACATAAACTAGAGTTTTCAAAAATTACAGTCATTCGCGAAAAATAAATCTCTAAAAAATCGCGGATCATCGATTACCACGAACGAGCTTCTTTTTTAAACCTCCTTGTGTCAATGTCACTGAAAAGTCGAAGGTCAGTTTTTTTTTTCTCTACTTATTCACTTTTTAACTCGCGAGAGTTCGACACGAGTCATTAAATTACATTTCGATGATGCAAACCAAAATATATATCTACACTCTCTGAATATTTCTTTCATCGTCAAAAAAAAAACTAATTCTCAAAAAGGATATAAATATATATGTAATTACTTCTTTGGCAATTTGAATTTTAATCTCAAAAAAGAAAATTTTCACAAAATGATTCTTATACAATAAAAAAAAAAATTCCAATAAAAGTAATTTAAAAAAAGACCGATATTTTAAAAACTCAAAAGTATAATTTTTTTTTTTATTTTGTTAACTTTCGAGTATTTTTCAATTATCGGATGAAACTTTTTTATTATTTGAAAACTTGGATCTCGCATCATCGGAGAAAAGTCGGCAACATTTTAAAAAGCGTACGAGTTTCACTAAATGTAAGTTTGATTAAAGACATTAATTTATTCGAGATTCTTAAAGCGGCTGAATAAAAATCGATTTTTATTTATTTACTTTTTTTTTTAGTTTGTTAATTTAACTGGCCTTCGAATATTCGGAGTTGTTTTTTTTAATATTCGCTTGAAGAACAAGAATCACGATCTGCGTAAAACGAATTTGAAACTAGAAAATCGAACAAAATTTCGATTTTTTTAGTTTCGAAAATTAATTTTTGAATTTCACGCGATGAAGAATTTTAGATTGCTATAAACAAAATAAGTGAGAGAATTAAAAAAAAGTTTAGAAAAAAGTTTTTTTTTTTGAAGCGCATGAATTTCACATAAAAATCAATTAGAATTGTTATTTTAAAATATTTTTTATTAAAAATAATAATTTTTTAAGACGAATTTTCAAATTAAAATTTGATAGATTTTCTTTTTATACAAATTTTTAACTACCGAATTGATTAATTTAACAGAATTTTCCTTCAATCGAATTTTATGTGATTCGAAATTTTAAATGACAGAAATTCAAATACACCGAATTTTAATTTGTCTGAATTTTTATTTGTATGAATTTTTAATTAATAAAATTTTTAAGACACCGAATTTTCATTTGTCCGAATCTACAAATGGCCGAACAAACAATCGACAGAAAGATTTTGGCGCAATTTTTAAAATTGACCAATCAACTTTTTTTTCATGATAATTTCTAATTGGTCCATTTCAAAAATTGCGCCGAAATCAATTCGGACATTTGTAATTTCGGTGAAATGAAAATTTATCGCTTTAAAAATTCAAATCACATAAAATTCAATTGAATGACAATTTTGTTGAATAAAAATTCGCTTAAATTAAAATTCTTTTAAATAAAAATGTAAATAAAATGAAAGTAAAATGAAAATTTTCCCAAAAGAAAATTTCGTTAAACAAAAATTTTGAAATTTAAAAATTCGTATAAATAGAAAATCTGTCAAATTTTAATTCGAAAATTCGTTTATTTCTAATAAAATATTTAATAATAAAAATTCTAATTAATTATTTTTATGGGAAATTCATGTTTTTTTTTTTGCTTGTAAATAAAAATATCACTTCCATCAAAGATGATATTTTTTTTATCAAAAAAAAAAGATAATAAAGTGAAAGGAGCTTTAAAATGTAAATATTGAAACAATTAAAAGTATATTTAAATTTCTTCACTGTCCTATCAAATAAAAAATAATTTTTATTATTAATTCAAGAGAAAATTAATTTTAATTTGAAAAAAAAATTTACTCTTTTTCAAAATAATTGTAATCAAATTTATTTGATAATCCAGTAGAAAATTAAATCGAAATTCTTAAAATTTACAGAACTATTTTCCTTTTTCTATATAATAATAAAAGAGAAAAAGTGTTATTTACTGTAATTACATCAATCAATTATTCTTCTCGCGTGATATCAAGTTTTTGATTCAACACGAATTGTAAAAAAAAATAAATAAAAAAAAAAAAAAAAAAAAAGCCGACCGTCAAGAGTAGTCGCGTGTTGAGCGCAAATACAATATAAAGTTCGATACAAAGTACACGAATTTGCGACACAGAACTAAATTTAACATCGTTGTAAATGTATCACAGACTATTAATAAAAGAACGGTGTTAGAAGTATCAGGCGAATAAGACGCCCCACTAAGCGCCAATACAAAAAAAAAGAAGAATAATAATAAGACGCGACTACTTTAGATCAGCAAAATTAATTAATTGGATTACAAAAAAAAAATATCGTGTTACGCAGTATCGAGTCAGATCCAAATGAAATTCACTGAGTTTCTTTTCTTTTTTTTTTTCATTAAAATAAGAGACGGAGTTGCGGTCTGCGCAAGCGCCTTGGGCCCAGTGGCCCTGGACACCAATCGATTTCCGGTTCGATGGAATTTTTTTTTGTCTTGATCCAGAAATTTTGAGTGTTTCCAGAAGAATTTCTAGCAATCCAGATTTTTTTTTTTTTATTAAGTGAATAATTTGAAACACAATTTTTTTTTGGGGGAAAAAGAAAAATTCGAAATCGACCTGGCAGTCTTTTTATACGAAGTTTGTATTTATAATGAAAACTTCAATTACAAGAACCTTGTTGATCAAATTGACGACGCGATTTTAATGAACCTTTAACTATGGATAGTGATTATCTCACAGCCATTTTCAATCCATTAAATTGCATTTTAGAAAACCATCTCCATCTCATCTTGAGGATAAAGAATTGCAATATCACCAAAATTATTTATCTATTCAATTAATTTTTTTTTTCATTATTATAACGGGGCAATTTTTTTCCAATTGAGAAAAAATTAATCTACATTTCAAATAGATTGAGCTGATTTTAGATTTAGAGAGATTTTTAGATTTTTTTAGAGCTGATTTGAAAATTATATTTTTTGATTTAAAAAAAAAAAAAAACGAAATGCAGATCAACAACGTTCTTGAGATCTTTGTCTCTCATTTTTTTTTTTTTTTTGATCGTTGTGGCGCACACTGGAGGACTAGAGCTAGATAATCAAAATTCTTATGCAGACACGTCGGGAATTTCTTGGGATGAAAATAAGCATCATTAAACCGAATATCGATGTGGAATCGCTCATGGCATAACATTCGGTTGCCCAGGGTCTCACTGGGCTTGTGCACTAGGGTCACACTGCAACAGTCGCACTATAGAGGGATCGCTTTTTGCGCCTTCAATAAATTCTTCCAATGACAATTTTCCATCCTTATTCTTGTCCATTTGCCGAAAGATTTTATCCGTCCTTTTCTCAGGCGTCGATTCATCCTCGGGCATTTTCATCACAGTACCAACCATTTTGTAGATCGCCTGTAATTTAGAAAAGAAAAAAAAAATCTTCTTGCATGAAAAAACTTTTTGATCAGTAACAATTCATTCATGTTGAAAAAGTTGGCAACGCCTTTTTTTGCAGACTTCGCACTTCTTAGTTGGTAAAAATAAAAAAGTAACTTTTATATTAACAAAAAAAGAAAAAAAAAACATATTTTTGCATTTACAAGAACAATTATCTAAATATTCGAAAAATTCCACTTTTTAAAGTACTTTTTTGAAATAGTTAATTTTTTAGTTTTATATTGACATTTAGTTTTTTACAAATAAGATATTTGATAGTAAATACAAAAAAAATTAAATAACATTAACATAAATAATCATACAATAATAATAAAATATCGATTGTTCAGTTGTAATTTTAATGCTATTTAAGTAAAAAAACAACTAGAAAAAAAATTACCTGACTTATGAAAAAAAATTTCATTTTACTGTAATCAAGCCTTGGATCGACTTTAAGGCACAAAAAAAGTCGTTTTAGTCGATTTATATTCCAAAAAAAAAATCGAAAAAGTCTAATTTTTTTATTTTAACAAAATTTAATTGATTAATGAATATTTTAGTTAAAGTTGAAATTTTTAGAAATATAATTGAATTTAAAAAGATTTTGTTAATTTTCACACAATTATTAAATTTTACAGAACTGAAAATAATTTATCAAATAATTTTAGATCACATTTCTTTTAAAATAATTGAATTTTCAAAAGATTTAAAATTTAAATTTTTGAAATTAATTGAACTTTAAGTGATTTTTAATTAAATTTTTTTTATGATTTCACTGAAAAATTTGTTAAAAATCACATACAAACAATGAATTTCAAAAGATTTTAATTGAAAAATGCTTTCAGATAATTGAATTTTCAAAGAATATTATAAAAATCATTAAAAATAATTGAAATTTTTGCAAATAATAATTAAATTTCAAGTGATTTTGAATTAAAAATTTTTGGTAATTTTTTATGGAAAAATAGTTTAAGATAATTGAATTTGTGAAGAATTTCATTAAAATTATTGAAAATAATTAATTTAGTGAAGAATTTTATGAATATAAATTTGTTAAATAATTGAAATAAAGAAGATCAGAAGAAGATCTGCATTGTGTACTAAAAAAACGTATTTTGTTTTAAAAAAAAATGTAAAAAAGGCCAAAAAGTCGCATTTTATTAAAATAAGTCGAAAATAGTCGTATTTTTGAAAAAAAAGTAGGAAAAAGTCGTATAATCCGAGGCCTGTGTAATTGTTATTAATAACAATAAAATTGACTATTATTGAAAATTTTATATATTTTTAAATTTGTTTAAACAAATTATTTTCATTATTTATCAAGAAACTTTGTAATAAACTTTCAAAAAACTCAAAAAAAAATTTAAGAATTAAAAAATTAATTAATAAATAAATAAATTTAAAGAATTCCTTAAATATTTAAACTTATCAAAGAGTTTAAGACAAAAAAATGGAGAAAGAAAAAAAAGCATGAACATTTTAGAAAAATAAAAGAAAATAGAAAATTTAAGGAAATACAATGTTGAAGAGAAAATTTGAAAAAAAAAATGAAGAATTTTACTAACCAAAAAAAAATAATTTACGGAAAAAATTGTAAATTTTGGACTACTTTGTAATAAATTTATTTTGTAAATAAATTAAGAAAAATTAAAAAATTTTATAATTCCAAAATTTGAGAAAAAATTGTTTAAGAAACGAAATTTTGTTTAAAAATGAAAGAAAATCGAAAATTTAAGAAAACAAAAAGTCCAAGAAATTAAAGGAAAAATAGAGAATTTAAAAAATCCTCAAATTAAAAAAGAAATTTAAGAAAAATATTTAAATATATAAAATTAATGAATTCAAAAGAAAATTAAGAAAATTAAGAAAATTTATTTATTTATGAAAACTCCAAAATTAAAAAAAAATTAATTTAAAAAATTAAAAATAATATTTTTAATCTAGAATTATCGAAAAGTTAGTATTTAAAAAAAAATCGTATACATATTGAATTTAGCACAAAATTCAAAACTAAATGTATTTAAAAAAAAATTTTTTTCGAATTAATCAATCATTTTAAATAAATTAGTATATAAATTGTCATACAAGAAGAAAAGAAAAAAGGTGTTGCCAAGTTTTTAGAATTCTTTCTACACTTATTAAAACAAAACAATTTTTTTTTTAAACTATTATACAAGAGGAAAAAGAATAAAATGTCAAAATTTCTATCCTCTTTTCTCGCAACGTGTACTCTTTTATAAATTTAAGTAACGTATATATAATACAAAATAAAAAGAAACAATGGATAATTGGTTGCCTTCTGTTTTCTTTCCCCTTTTTCTTGTAATTTTTGTCTTGAAATTACTTCAACTCAGTTATTTTCCTCTTTTTGACATTTTTATATTCTTTTCAACTTAATAAAATTCCACTGAAAATGATTCAAAAATATAGTGAAGAAATGGTAAATTTTTTTTCCCCAAGAATATGAATAAAATCTGTTTACATATAAGAATAAAAGAATAGAGAAAAGAAATGAACAGATAAAAAAATTCTCTTCAAAGAATAAAAGATTCTGGCTCTCAAATATTGGATATATATATACTTTGTTTTTCAATCAACTTAATTTAATTGCCAGTTTCCAGAAATTATTTTGAACTGTAAAATATATTTTTTTTAAAAAAAGGATAAATTAAAAAAAAATATATATCCATATTCTCGAGAGGGAAAATATCAAATTAATAAACTTAAATCTTCAAAAACAATTAAAAGTTAATGCTTCAGTTTCACATCAAGAGTAAATAGAAGCTCCTTTGTAGATATGAGTTTAATATATATAAATGTTGGATAATTAGATTATGATAATATTTTGAATAGTATGTGCGGAAAACTTTTGAAAGCCTCTTTATATTATAAACTTACCGTGACGATTTCCAACATTTCTTGACGTGAAATATATCCATTGCCATCAAGATCGTACATACTGAAGGCCCACTTCAGTTTTTGTTCTAATTTTCCCCGTGAAGTAACGCTAAGGGCGCAAAGGAACTCCCGGAAATCAATGGTACCATCGCCATTAGCGTCAAACGTCCTAAAGACATGTTCTGCAAACTGAATTCAAAAAAACAGAAAAATAAAAATTAGACAACTCCAATATAGTAAAATGAAGAAAAAAAAACAGAATGTTGATTCGAGCAGAATCAAGCCTGGAAAGGAACGGGTTTTTTTTTCATTTCCGCTTCATTTTTCCATTTCTATTCACCACATACTCCAAAAAAAAAGCTCCTTTTCCTCTTTTTTCTAAGACACACACGCGAATTCTTCTCTCTATAATAAAATTTTTCTATATATATATATTCTGAAATATCAATGTAAAAATCATCGATAGAATAAATATGAAATTCTTGTCAGATGCATTCGTAGAAAAGAAGAATCAAAATACTCTCTTTGAATTTTAAATCGTTAATTTGCCAATATTAAAATAAATCTGATGAAAAAGTAACAAAAGGGAAATTTAATTAAAGATTTTTCATTTAAGGCATTTTATCTCAATATAATTTCTCAACTTATTTGAAAACTGCCCAAAGCGTCGATATTTTTGATTCTACTTTTTCACTATATATATATATATATATATATATATAGAAAGGAATGTGTCCTGAGGCATAATTTCTCTCTCGTTCTATTCTTAGTTTTTTGCTTCATTTCTTTTTTCTTTGAAGATAAACTTGAATTAAATGGAGATGACGCGCGAGGAACAAATCGTTAATGATCTAGTGAAAAGTTCTATTGCCAGCCAGTTCCTAAAGCCACGACCTATCCAATATATTAGCTTGCTACCTCGTACAAAAGTCAAGTCCTCTTTCATCCCCTTTTTGCAAGTACGTGTTCTCTCTCACGTGCTTCTCTCTATACTCTCGAGAGGACCTGAGGCGACTTCCCACACTTTTGACGCTTCTTCGACGTCATCATTGAACTAAGTTCGAGATCTTCGTCTATACTACTTTTCGAGAACTCTAAATTTCTACTGCTTTATTAAAACTTTTCTTCTTTTTTTTTGACATTTTTTTTTTGACTAACAAAAAATTAAAATAATTCTTAGGAAAATATGATTTTTAAACAAATTTCGAAGTAATTTTATAACGTTGGAACTTGGAAAAAAGTGACCACCCGATCCACACTGTAAAAAAAACTTTCAGAACTTTTTAAATTTACAAGACGAAAATTCAGAAGGCAACATAACCTAAAATGTTGTTCTTTAATAACAAAACATAAAAAAATTTAAATTTTACGTCATAATTTTTGTAATTTTTAGTACTCACAGAAAAAAAGGTGGGTAAAAAGTTGTAAAGATAGAGGATAAAAGTCGTTAGGAAACAGGGTAAAGGATAAATTTGTGATGGATAAAAATGTTACTAAAATATTACTAGAAAAATGGATGTCATATTTGAGTAAACTGTCTAATTTTAATAAAAATATTAGTAATTTTACACTTAACTTATTAAATCCACAAATTTTATATAAATAAGTAATTGCACGTGGAAATATTTTTCCTATAATTATTGTCTATTAATAAAAATATCTTTGACTAATACAACTGACAGCTGACGACAGTACGTAAATAATCAGAACTGGGAAATTACAACTCAACGTCTGTATTGTTGCACGAAAGCAGAGTTGGGTAGTAACTGAATTTTTTGTGCATATTAGGCTGTGTCAGTTCATCGAGATATTTCGAGTTCAAGATATGACGTCAGAGGTCTGGAGGGACAACAAACAGACGATACAATGTTATTCTTACGGGGAAGAAAATTTGTTTCCACTTTCATTAATTTTATTCATACTTTAAACACGGAAAACGCTTTTTGACATCTAATAAAATTAAAATGTGTCTTGATAATTAATTTTGTTATATATTTGATTCATTTGCATTGATAGATTCTCTGAATTCGTGATAAAATATAAATATTGAGGTTAGAAAAGTTTGTTTACTAATCACATTTTACATTTTAACATTATTAAACAATATCCAGTATGCATGTTATTAAAAAAGATATAAAATATATATTTTAAGTGGGAATTACCGCAGCAGTAAAAGATTTAAAGTTAGTAAACAAACACCCCTAACCTCAAAATTTACATTTTATCACGAATTCAGAGAATCTATAAATGCAATTGAATCAAATATATAACAAAATTAATTATCAACACACATTTTAATTTTATTAGATGTCAAAAAGCGTTTTCCATGTTCAAAGTATGAATAAAATTGATAAAAGTGGAAACTAATTTTCTTCCCCATAAGAATAACGTTGTGTCGTCTGTTTTGTTGTCCCTCCAGGCTTCTGACGTCACACCTAGAATCGACTCTGACGTCACAAGTGACAGAGCCTAATATGCACAAAAAATTCAGTTACTACCCAACTCTGCTTTCGTGCAACAATACAGACGTTGAGTTGTAATTTCCCAGTTCTGATTATTTACGTACTGTCGTCAGCTGCCAGTTATATTAGTCAAAGATATTTTTATTAATAGACAATAATTATAGGCAAAATATTTCCACGTGCAATTACTTATTTATATAAAATTTGTGGATTTAATAAGTTAAGTGTAAAATTACTAATATTTTTATTAAAATTATACAGTTTACTCAAATATGACATCCATTTTTCTAGTAATATTTTAGTAACATTTTTATCCATCACAAATTTATCCTTTACCCTGTATCCTAACGACTTTTATCCTCTATCTTTACAACTTTTTACCCACCTTTTTTTCTGTGCTTCGAACGAAAGAGCTTTATCCATATACCCAGACAGCACGTAAACTTGCAGCAACCTTGCGGCAAGCTTGTCACGCAATATTGCCAAGCTAGCACGGCAAACTTCAAATGCCCCACCTAACCCAAGCTTGCATGGTAAGCTTGCCGAAAGATTGCAGTGTAAGGTTACTGCAAGATGGCATGATAAGATTATCGCAAGCTTGGACAGTAAGCTTGTGGCAAGGTTGGTGCAAGGTTGCCAATAACCTTCCCCAATCAGCACAAAAGTTTGCATTGAAAATGAGCACTATGCGCACTTGCAATCACAAGCACTTACGGCTGCGCAGTAAATTTTTTTGACCTCCTAAGAACTGATGCTCAATGTATGTACAAAAATAAATTTCCTCCAACAGAAAATTAAAAGGCATTAAAATAATAAGCATTGCAGCTTATTTTAATGCCTTTTAATTTTCTATGCTTGCATGGCAAGCTTGCTGCAAGTTAGCTACAACCTTCTGTGCTGATTGGCAAGTTTATTTGGCATCCTTGCACCAACCTTGCGACAAGCTTACCGTGCAAGCTTATACTGAGCAATTTTGCATTAAAAAAATTATAATTCGTTGAATTTTATAATAATATTAAATGTAAATGTTGATTATAACGTAAGTAAACATTAGGTATAACTTCTACGCATCTTTCGTGCGCAACTAGTTCTGTCAATCATCATAACCTGCAATTACTGTTTTTTCTATGTGTTGTACGTAGTTAGGGGAAAAAAAATGTAATTAAATTTTGTGTGTATCAAAAACTGTTAACTTTAAAATTTTCACAATTTTACTTATTGATGTGGAAATCCAATTCACTACCAATAGTGTTCTGTTACTACATAATTTAAAATCTCTATAAAAAAACATAAAAAAATAGCGATCTGACAAACCGTAAAATTTAAGCACATGGCAGTTTAAATGTAAAGTAGCTCAATTATTTACAATTTCTAAATTATATACAAAGTATGACAACCTAAATCTTAAAATTTTCGATCTTAATAATTGTTAAAATAGATTCAATAAATTTTTTATATGAATATAAATTATTCAAAACGAATTTCTATTATCAAACTGTTTAATTCTTATTATTTTTCAAATTAGGTTATATGTATGAATGTTCCTGTGGCGCAATGTATTAAACCAGGTTATTTTCTAAACGTATATATATATATATATTACATAATTTATTTATTATCACATAAAAAACTTCCAGAGAAAAGCGCTTTTATCCATCTCTGCTAATTGGTCTTTATTAAACTATTCTTTAAAAGAAGAGATTTTTCTTTAAAAATAAAAGAGTTTCGCCTACTTTTCCAAAAAAAAGATTATTCAAGTTTTAGGATGCGAATTCTCTCTCTCTCTCTTATATATATAATCATTGGAGCGAACCCAAATATCGATTGTGAAATTGTTAAGAAATAAAGAAAAGAAGAGGAAAAAAAATGTACGTCACGTAACGAGAAATCGATGAGTAAAAGGATCGGCAATACCACGCTCCTTTCCGGCTACCCACCACCCTCTGTTCCCTTGGTTTTAATAAGACTTTATTCGGTGATGAAGCGTAAACTAAGACATGCTGGCTTAGAGAGTTGATCGAAATTGATAGCGATAATAAATTATAAACACAGCTTCGGCATCTACAACTTGATGAGTTAGACAGCACGAGATAATCAAGCCAAGACTTTGTAGAAGTCTATATAAATATATATATATAGTATATCTCTACTAATTTTTAGTGCAATAAAAAATGACTCTATTTTATAAAAAAAAACGTGAATATAATTTGAAAAACATCAAATCTGAAGTCATCTCAGACTGAAGAAAGAAAGGTTTTAAATTGAATCAAGTAGTTTTCATGTTAAAATTTCAAATTGCTTTAGTAATGATGACAAACGATTTCCACAGTAATGCGAAGTGAAACTTAATTTAATCCGTCTATGGTCTGAGCAAGGAAAATTTAATAAAAACCAATATCAATAATTGCATTTCAAAAAAAAAGGAATCAAAAATAATTATCAAATTTTAAACGTCCGGGTAGAATCTATTAGAATAGGTTAAATAATAAAACGATAAGATTCCGACAAGTGGATTTTTTAATAAAATTTCCTTCAACGTTTCGAAATCACACTGATTTCCTCGTTAGGGAGTCTGACAATAAATAAAATTCATAAAAATTAAAAAGAATTAATTAAAAACAACATGGAGAGAAGAGTTTCAGTATATTCTACTAAACACGTTTAGTACAGATTCTACTAAACAGCATCTCCTCTTTTATTTTAATGTTATATATAATATAAAAAATTGTGTATAATCAAAATTGGTATACTGAAAAAACAAAAAAAAATTCTATTACATATGTGACGCTCCACGAGAAAAGGGACCTTATGCGACAAAACAGAATTATACAGGAAAGGCGTTTAAAGTCGAACGTTCTGATTGGCTGAGACGCGCCAGCGAAAATTAGCGATTGACATGGTCATGTTTAAAGCTTTATTACAAAAAAAGTAATTAGAAAAATATTATTTTTGACATTTCTATATGAAAGAGCAACTCAAATACTATTGATTCGCATATAAAACAGGAAATTAATTTTTTGTCGCATAAGGTCCCTTATCTCGTGGAGCGTCACATATATTTTTACTTATCTAAAAGCTTTTTACGAATACAGTTTTGCTCACGATAAAACGATACAATTACAGGCTACAAATAAGTAGTAGCATTATTCAAAAATAAATAGGCTTATCAAATTAACAATATGTAATTAAGTATTTTTCAGATAAAAATGTAATTCAATTTCATTCACCTCTGATAATTCAAGCGATTTCTGATTTGTAATATTGAATAACACAACCACACAAAAAAAGTGTCTTGATCTGAGGTCGAACTTGAACTCAACCACATATTGATAAGTTTCTAACGTCTTTTAATTTAAATAAACTATTCTACAAGCTTTCCAAGAAAAAATTTATATAAAACATCAAATCAATCGATTCTAACCTTAAAAATACATCTAAGCTTCCAAACAAAAAAATTATACCATACATAGCGCAATTGAAAGTAGGTAAGCCTATGAAAGTTAATACTCAGGTCTTTATGTGGTTGCTGATTACGGATTCGATGTCCGTTTCTAAAAATTCAAAATGGCGGCCAAAAAAATCCTAAAATTTGACCTAAATTGATGAAAGTTGTTACTCGGGGTTTTTCGGGGTCGCTGATTACGAATCCGATGACCGTTTCTAAAAATTAAAAATGGTTGATATAATATGGCGGACTTTATTATTTTAACGAGTTTTTTTAAATGTATTATTCTGAACTACGAGTTAGCAATAGTATATTATTTAAAGATTGAGTGCTGTTAAGTACTCGAGAACCACAATAAATAAAATCGGCTTGAAATTAATTACTAGAAATTTTTAGGGGTCACTAATTAAAAATTCAATGTCAGATTCGTAATCAGCGACCCCAAAAACCCCCGAGTAACGATTTTCAAGCGAATCTGAACAAATTTTTAAAAAAATTGTCCGCCATATTGGATCCGCTATTTTTAATTTTTAGAAACGGACATCAGATTCGTAATCAGCGACCCCAAAAAACCTCGAGTAACAAATTTTACCAACTAAGGTCTAATTTTAGGATTTTGGCCGCCATATTGGATCCGCCATTTTGAATTTTTGAAACTTGACATAGGATTCGTAATCAGCAATCACAAAAAGACATAAGTAGTAACTTTTATGAGCTTACATCCAGAGAAAAAATTTATTAGTTTTGAATAAAAACGTATATTTAAATCATTTTTATTTATTTCAAATAAATAAATGTTTGTATGATGTTGTCGTATATGTTTCTTACAAATAAACAATTTTATTAGTACTTTTTAAAAAGGTACATTTGTGGCAAATAAATAATATATTTAATTGAAATAAAAGTTTATTCGAGTTCAACGTATGCGCAGAATACTGTATACGATATAACTTTAAAGATGTCGGACGTAGTGAAAACGAGGTGACAGATTAACGCGACCAAGCAGTTGTTTGTACAAGGATTGATTATTATTTGATTAAAACAAATACTAATTTCAGGATAATTAAAGAAATGTTTTTATTCGCGAGTGTTTATTAATTAAATCACACTTTCCTTTTATTTTGAGTGCCTTTCTCCCTGTTGTGTCTCAAATGTGAAGCAGAATTCAATTTCAATTGACACAGATGAGAAATGGAAATTATTATGTTTCAACAATATCCACGGAACATACAAAAAAATAACCACGAAATGTAAAAATTTAAGATTTTCAATTTGAATCATAAATTTTATTTATATCAATTCCAGAATATTTGGCTGAATACCAGGCAATTTTGCAATTAAATATATTACATTCAAAACTTTTTATTTATTTGTCCTAAATATAAAATATATTTATAGCAAATAAAAATTTATTTGTCTCAAATTTAAATATAAAAATTTATTTGAGACAAAGAAAACTTTAGTAGGCTCTGAGACAAATATCCATTTTTATTTAAGTCAAATATAGTTTATTTAATTCAAATAAAACATTTCTCTAGGTGTATATAATTTTTTTGCGCTATGTATGGTATAATTTGTTCATTTAGAAGCTGAGATGTATTTTAAGGTATTTTTTCAGGTTAGGGCAAAACCAGGACCCATTGGCCAAATTCTGATTGCAGATTCGGATTCAGCGCATCAAAATACATAGGAATATATATGTCTCGACCCCAGATCAAGACACTTTTTTTGGTGTAGCTGTGTAATGAATCACTACTCTGGCTAGAACCAACAAAACGTTTGAAAGCAGAAACTTGCTTTTGCAACTCTGCAGTTTCTTGCAATTTTCTTTTTCTGTAGTAGGACCCAGAATTCTTTTTATTTTCTGACATCTTATTACGAAACAGTTCTTTTAAAAATATCAATAAACAAAATCAATACTTGAAACAATTCGAATTCTATTAACTGTCAACGCTGCCAACAGTCATGTTAGGTTGGAATCCAATGTATTTCAGGGTTGCGTAGCATTAATAAATTCAGAAGTTAACGCCAGGGTACGGACACAATTTGCATCGGTCCCCTAAAGTTACTAAATTTTCACTAGAGCAGGGTGCGATAGTTGACGAGAATTATGACTCCCTGAAGATAAAATCAGTGTGATTTCGAAATTTTATTAAAAATCCTTTTGTCCAAATGTTATCGTTTTGTTATCTAACCTATTCTAATGTAATCAAAAATCGTTGTTATTAAAATATGTAAAAATTAATAACGCATGCCCAAGACGATAAACGGACGAAAAATATTTAAATCGTATTATTCGAATTTAAAGCTCAAAAAGGATAATATAATTTACAAAATTAATATTTTAAAGCATTAAGGAATATGTACAATATTTTTAAATCTATTCTAATTTAAAAATAAATGATGGTTAAAACGACCCTTTGTTTACTGTAAACATTTTCGTATCACATTTATGTAAAAATTTCTTTGAAAAACTCCACACAAAGTTCCACTGACACAATATTTTCTTCCTCGCTTTATCAAATATTGAATTCAAACACGGATAAGAAAATATTTATAACTGTCAGATTTCGGGAAAAAAAAGTTTTCAAATAAAAAAATTTATATTTTTAAACTTCATTAAAATTTTCTGATAGCAAAGATTTTCTCAAAGGTATTTTTACATTAAGGTGAATAAAATGTTTAATAGAAAAATATTTTACAAAAATTATGTACAAATGCAAAAAAAAAAAAAAAAAAGTTAGAAATAGAATGTAAAAACATTACAATTTAGCAAAAAAAAAAATGACTCCATGCTGAGACAATATTGTGATTTGTAATTTTTAATTAATAGAAATGAAAAAAAAAATGTGAAAATATTTTGAAAAATCATCGAAAAACAAATATTTGGATACCATTAAATAAATATGAAAAAATGAGCGCGCTGATACACAACTTGGTACTGCTATCAATATTTAATCCTTTTGTGTCGAGATCAAAAAACGGACACTGAAAAAAAACATGACGGAATTTCGACTTTTTTTTTTTTTTTATCAGCCATGCTTATGTTTAAAACAGACGTTATTACCTTTGTCCACGGCGCATTATCAGTGGATAAGGAGAAGTATAATTAGAATAATTATAATTTAATAACGTTTTACGACCGACTAAAATATTGCAGCTCTTTTTCTTATTATTTAAACTTATAAAAAGCATGAAAATTTACCAACTTACCTTCGATGCATCACCGTAAGGGAAAAAATTTCCATATATTTTCTTGAATTCCTCAACACTCAAGTGTCCACTTGGACAATCTTTCAGGAATCCTTTGTACCATTCCTGTATCTCCGCATCTGAAAAAGAAACAACAAATTATTATTATTATTATTTGTCTATATTTTTTGTTTCAATTCATTTAATATTCAACAATTTTTGTATTTTTAAGGAAACAATAAAAGAATATTTTAATTAACCGAATAATAGTAAAATTTTTCATATTCTTCGTCATCTTTGACCTTTCCATACTCTTTTTGATGTTATCACATAATGCAAAACAAGTTACGTATACTAAAAAAAATATATATATATATATATATATAAAGTTGCATTACGAGATTTATTAATAATTCAACAGTTTATTTTCTTACAGTCGACTTGAATTTGAATGTTGAGCGCTTCGTGCATGCAATTTTTGCAAATCATTTTTTAACTTTCATTCATATTACTGATTTAATGATCCGAAAAAAAAGATCGATTCAAATATTCCTTTTAATATGGTACCCATTAAAATTGTTCTTATATTGAATTTAAAAATTCCAATTTCCATATTCATAAAAATATAATTAAAACAGAAAAATCTCTAATTCACATTTTTTTTTTACTCCTTTAAAGTAACTGTAAATATTTATGAATTATTATACTATATGCATTATATGCTTAATGTTAGAAAATTGTTACTTCTTTTTCCATTGTATTATGTTTAGAGATCGACGAGATTAAAATTACACTCTTCATGCTATTCAAGGAAGGAGAAAGCTTTCAGCAGGAGAATAAAGTGAATGCTTTATGCTTTTCCCTTTACGACCTCGAACTTCAATCTTTTTAAAATCCTTCAAAGATATATAGGTATATATATATATATATATAAATAAATATTTTACCTAAAGATCTTTATAGAAAATATACTTCTTGAGATTCTAAGCTTGAATATATTATATTTCGAAATCGCGATTTATTTGATTTCAATTGCACTTAATAATAATAATCATAAATTTATTCGTTGCAAAAATAAAAAAGGATTACCTATATTTTTTCAAAAAATTGTATAAGAAAATAAATTCAATTATTTATGAGGTAAACATTATATAAAGAAAAATAATATATTTGAAGCATTTTCGGTGGGACAAATGAGATTTTAATTATTTGTTTAAACAAATTGTTATCATTATTTATTCCGAATATTTGTAATAAATTTTCAAAAAATTAAATGTTATATACAATTTTCATTTTTAAATATGTATTTTACTTTTTCAAAATATCTGTACTTATTTTTTGTTTATCATTTCCAAATGAATTACTTAATCGAGAGAGAAAAAAACAGAAGAATTTTAGAAAATGAAATAAAAGTAAATACAATGTTAAAAGAACAGAAAAAACGAAAATTTAAGACATTCACAAAATAAAAGAATTTTCAAAGAAAATTGTAAATTTTGTGTTAGATTATAAAAGTAATTAAAAAAATATATAAATTTTGGAAATTCTCAAAAAAAAAAAAAAATAATCTGTAAAAAAATGAACAGTTTTTATGAATAAATCAAGTAAGAAAAGAAAAATACAAGAATGTTAGAAAAATAAAAGAAAATCTGTAGAAAAAAAGGAGAATTTTCCAATGAAAAAAATTTAAGAAAACATAAATTTTAAAAAATCAAAGGAAAACAGAAGATTTAAGGAAATGCTAAGTTAAAAAAAAAAAGAAAAATTGGGAAAGAAAAATAGAAAATTTTAGAAATTTCTAAATTAAAAAAAAATTAATATTGACAGAAATTATCGAGAATTTTGGATTAAAACTAAAAAAATAAATAAAATTTAGAAATTTCAAAAAGGGAAATTTTTTCATTAAATAAATGAATAAGAAAAGAAGAGAATTTTAGAAAAATAAAAGAAAATTAAAAAATATTAAGAAAACAAAAATTTGAAGAAACAGAAAAAGAAGAAAATTATACAACATTTAATTTTTCTCTTCCAACTCTCTAAATCTGAATTAGTAAAAATGTTTACTAATTGAAATTAGTGACTCAATTTTTGCTTCTGAATTAGTAAAATTTTACTAATTATTAGTAACTTTTACTAACAATTAGTAAAGTTTAATTTAAATTAAATTTTTTAATTTAAATTTAATTTGTTAGTAAAAGTTACTAATAATTAGTAAAATTTTACTAATTCAGAAGCTAAAAGTGAGTCACTAATTTCAATTAGTAAACACTTTTACTAATTCAGATTTAGAGAGAAGAAAAAATAAAAACACAAGAATTTAAAAAAATGAAAAATTGAAAGAAAAATCAAGAATTTAGAAATTCACAAAATAAAAGAATTTTTGAAAAAAAAATTACAAACTTTGGACCAGTTTAAGAATAAAAAAAAATGAATAGTTTGAGAAATACTTAAATCGAGAAAAAAAACACAAGAATTTTAGAAAAACGATCAGAAATTAACAATTTTCCGAAAATAAAAAATTGAAGAAATAGAAAAAAAAATTTTTTTACAATTTTTGAAAAATGAAAAAATTTTCAAAGGAAAAATTGTAAGAGAATTAAAAAACACAAGAATTTCAAAAGTGAAGAGAAATCAAAAAATTTAGTTTAAATACTAAGTTATAAAAATGGAAAAAAAATGAAAATATTAGGAATTTTTTGAAAATAAAGGGTGAATTTTCAAAATAAGTTGAAAACTTTTGACCAGTTTGTAAAAGTAAAAAAAAAAAATAATAATAAGTAAAGTTAATAAATTCCAGAAAAATGAGGAAAGTGGGAAAAATAATTGAATTAGAAAAAAACGAGAATTTTAGAAAAATAAATGGAAATAAAAAATTTTAAGGGTATGTCAAAGTGATGATACTTCTTACATGTCAGCTTTTATATAAAGTAGTATCACGACTTTGACATACCCTTAAGAATATAAAAATTTGAAGAAACAGAAATAAAAAAAAAAGAAACTTTTACAACATTAAAAAAAAAAAGAGAATTTTCCAAAGAAAAATTAAAAAAGAATAAAAAACACAATTTAAAATTTTTTTTTCAAAATTAAAAAATAGAAAGTCTTAGAAAAGAAGAAATTTAAAAAAAATTAGGCCCTCTCCTTAAAAAAAAAGAATTTTAATGAAAAATTGATTGTAAATTTTACTTTTTTGTGAATTTGTTATATTTTTAATTTTAAACAAATATATTAAAAATATGCAAGACTAAAAAATTATTTTTACTGAGCCAAAAGTTTTGAACGTTCAAATGAACGAAATATTTTTTTCAATCAATAAATTATTAAAAATTATGATGGCCATGTAAAATAAAACAATAAATTAAACTATCATTAAATTAATAACTTCTTTTTAGATATTTAAAACAATATTTTGTATTAAAATTTGTACTTAAAGAAGTTGCAAAAAAAAAATTTCGTTCATTTGAACGTTCAAAACTTTTGGCTCATTATTTCTCAAATATTTAAAAAATTATTTGGTTCACCTCTCGAGTGAAATAAATTATTTTCCCAGTTTCCCACAGTTATCCAATTAATTATACGAAAATAATAACAATTTAAAACTAAAAGTCTCATTAACAATTTTGATTATATTAAATTTTTCATGAGATGTTGATTGCCTATTATATGCGAGTATGGAAACTAGAAAATTAATGTTTGGGGAACTGCCTCTTGACTTGAAAGGGTTAAGGACCTACAAACGTCTTATATATAGAGAGAGAGAGAGAGTGAGAGAGGCATATCCCCGAAGCTGCAATAGTACATATATAGACACGATTCATTCACAGTGATGTAAGTGCGAGCACTGCACATCACGTTTTCTAGTCACCTGAAAACTCGGTGTTTTGTTTAAGATCTTCCAGCACTTCTGGCTTGAGTTTGCTGTTCTGTTTACCCATCGTTGAAGGCGCCGCCGCTCCAGGAGTTCACCTCGCTGGATCTCGAATCCCTTTTTAAATATGTAAGAGCCAACTCTCTAGTCTACTAGCCTACGTGTGCCTATGTGCACCAAAAACTTCGTGGCTGGTACTTTACACCAGACACCACCTGCAAAACAGAAAATGGAGAAATTATTATAACACACTTTTAAAAATGCCTCAAAAGAATTCAACTCTTTTTTTTTTATTATTAATTTTACATTCACATCTGTTGAATAACAAAATAAAAAATTATTTTTCAACAAAAAAAATTTCTTTTTTCTATTCAATTTCGAAAATAAAAAAAGAAAAAAATCGAAGCATTTCAAAATTCATTATTTTTCATTTTCATTTAATTTCATTAGATAGAATATTTTTTCTGTCGAATTTTCGTTTTTACAATAGAATTTGATAGAATTTATTTTTATTCGTATTTTTACTTAATATACACGGAAAAAAAAAAATTTATTTGATTCAAATACTCACTTGACTATTATCTAATAAATATTTACTTGAACCAAATAATTTTTTATTTGAATTAAATAAATTTTATTTGAATCAATAATTTCTGTATTTAAAACAAATACTATTTAATTGACTCAAATAATAATTATTTAATACAAATAAATATTTATTTAATAATAATCAAGTAACCGATTATTTGAATCGAATAAATTTTTTTTTCAGTGTAATTTTTAGGTTATCCCAACAGTTTATTTAAAAGAATTCTTATTTATATTTGTTAATAATAATTAATAATTCATTTATAATAAAATTTTAAGTGAGTCAAAATTTTAATTTCCTTTTAGCCGAATTTTCATTTTTCCAAATTTTTATTTGTCCGAAATTGAAAATGACCGAACAGACAGAATGATTTGAGCGCGATTTTAAAATAATTTTCTAAATTAACAATAATCAGAAATTCTAAAGAAAATTGTAATTTGTCAATATAATATTTCAAAAATGTCGAAATATTTCTATTGAATTTCTGTCAATTGAAAATTTTTTTTCATTGTAACTTTAGATTTTCATTCATTAAAAATTGTGGTATTTTTTTTTTTTTTGAAATTTATTTTCGTAAATTTAAAAAAAAAAAAGAAAAATCAGTTACACCTTTGTGTTTTGTTGAATAGTGGAAAATAAATATTTTGAAAGTTAAAGAAATAACACAATTTAAAGAAAAGTGGTTTTTTTTTTAAAAAGTAAAAATTCCCAGCTTTGGGAGGCGATTTCAACGACCTAGTTTTCTGGTTTTGCTATATGTATATATAAGGTCTCGCTTTTAAAGCAACTTTATCCTTAACATTTATCACTTAGAATTTCGATATCCGACGAGAATTCTCTTGAGGTCAATGATTTCATGTATTACATTCTCTTATACATATACTATATATATATATATTTATTTATTTATTTATTAAATCTATTGAAAACTCAAGGGAATAAATCTTTAGGGCCGTGGATAACTCAGCAGATGTGAATGAATTAACATTATATTATCTCTTGCATTCTTAAATTAAATTTTCAAATATTATCTTTATTTTCCATTCAATTATAATTTTATTCGAAATCGAAAAAAAATTATAATTTTTCCCAAAAAAAAAAAAAAAATACTTTGCAAGAGTTTTATAAATATAAATTTTTTTTTAATATAATAATAAATCTTACCTATTTCCGTAATTTTTGTCTTAATATTTAATAGTAAAAACTAATTTCGATATTTCTAAATAAATAAAGATTCAAACAAAATTTAACAATCATGGAGAGAAGAGTATGTATTGTAGAGCTTGTATTATTATGAAAGTAGAAATTACTAAACTAGTCAGTAAAAAGTAACAATACAAAAATTTTCAAATGGACTAATATCTATTCAATAAAATGTAAACCTCTTTCTTAAATACTATTTTCTCATTATTTTTGAAATATTCTTTTACTTAAAAATTTATTCTACACGGAAAAAATGTTTTTTTTGAAATTTTTATTTTCACTAATCATGTACTTATGGATAGTATACACATTTTTCGTGAATTTTTACTTATAGCGTTCTTTAAAAACTTGAAAACATTCTTGAAATATTAAAAATGAATTATAGAATTTTTAGAATTCAATACATGATCAGTTGTTTTCGATTTAATATTAAACTTTTTACCGGATAAATTAATACTATCCCCAAAGTGTCAAAATGTTTTTATGATTTTTATAATAGTTGAAAAATTTTGTGGTTATAAAATCTATTTACGCGTCAATCTGATTTTACAAATAAGGGCCAACGCACAATAGCTTCCCGAAGTCCGTTTGCAAACGAGGTGCATGAAATAGAAAAGAACACAAATATATATCTCTGTTCTTTTTTAACTAATGCTTCAAGTTAGGGAACGAACTAAAATGTTTTTCGTAAATTCTACTACTCGTTATTACTGTACACTCGTGGACAGATATACCTACAAATTTTTGTCCTTTTCTAACTCACGTGTTGTCATGGCAACACGTGTGTAGGACAAGGACAAAAAAAGTATAAGCATATGGGGCCATACTTTAATTACGTAACGCTTTTTCTTTGAAATTTAAACCCCCTCCCTATGTAACAGATTTTTATATACATTAGCGCCATTTTGCCTGAGCAGAATAGAAACGTAACCGGAATCGTAACCGCAAACGCAACCGGATAGAGTTAGAGAAGGATAACATATTGTTTGTCCTTCTCTAACTCATTATTCCGGTTGCGTTTGCGGTTACGTTCCTATTCTGCTCAGGCCTTTACACACAGCTTTAACCCCCCCCCCCCCCAATGAAGCGTTACGTAATTAAAGTATGGACCCTTTCTGGCCTCGAGTGTACATTAAGGGTGCAGTCCCGTGACGACGCGAATGTAAAATGCAAAGCAGAAAACCATGAGTGCAGAAGAGATGGAAAGATATCGCTATCCTTTTCACTCTCATGATTTTCAACTTTGCATTCTGCATTTGCGCCGTCATGGGACTGCACCCTTAAGGCACTTGTACACCTCATAAATTCTAAGTATACTCGGAATTTGTCAAAAGTTATACTAATTTTGATTGGCCTTGCTCATGGAGAATTTCCAAAAGATAGGAAAATTTCGAAATTCTCTATGAGCAAAGCCAATCAAAGTTAGTGAAACTTCTGACAAATTCCGAGGATACTCAGAATTTGTGAGGTGTACAAGCGCCTTTAGGCTTTATGGTTGGTTTCCACTATCCCCACTCGCCATTTGTCATAATTCTCGTCAACTATCGCACCCTGCTCTAGTAAAAATTTAGTGACTTTAAGGCCTGAGCAGAATAGCTTCATGAACGGAAACTCAATCGTGAATCGAAACGTAAGAATGAGTGAGACAAGAATAAATATATTTGCTATCCTTCTCTTACACATTCTCACGTTTGCGATTGCGTTCCCGTTCGAGAATCTATTCTGCTTAGGCCTTTATTGTTAAAATTAAAAGTTACTAAATTTTTACTAGAGCAGGTAGTTGGCAAGAATTATGACAAATGGCGAATGGGAACAATAGAAACCAACCTTATGTTTACTATACATATTAAATAGAATATAGCATACAACTATAGTGTTTGGCTACCTGCTATGCAAAAAGCCAATTAACCAACAAACAAACAAAAGCATACAAACTCTTCTTTCCGTGAATCATTCAAAAATCACAAACATACGATTCACTCGACAAAACACAATCATTTACACTCTTCGTTTTTAGTTTTCTGTAACAGAAAAAGATTTTTTTAAAAAACAAACGAGGATACATTTAGAGCATAGTGCGATTTATTATAATAAGTAATAATAATAATAAGTAATAATAATCATAATAATAATAATAATAATAATAATATAGTAATAATTATAATAATAATAATATTGTATAGGTATTTATCGGAGTTTACACCCACGGAAAAAATACGGGTCATTTTGATTGTTTGAACAGAACAATATTTTTTTTTTTTTACGTCTTGTTTTTCACGTGGGGAGGATTGTGGGGCGAATACTCGGAATAAGGTCACAGACATTTCGCGCCTCTTTCTTTTTCTTTTCTCCCCTCTCGATGATGAAAAATCTGTTATGTATCTGCGTCTCGAAAAATAATCGCGAGAAGCTCTCATATTAATAAGATAAGATTTATTCTAAAAATATTAACACCGGATATGAAATATATATATATATATATATATATAGACCGGATTAAAATTTCCCTTAAATATATATATATCTTGTATTATATACGAAAGAGGAATGATCGCTTGAGTATTTTGCTTTGAGATTTCCATATATAGGATATATCCCCGAGAGTCAACTACATATATCGATTGACTGCTCAAATACTTTGTGGACTGTCTTCGCGGGAACAAAAGTCGTCACTTGAATCGATTTTGCAGCCTGTCAATCGTCTCAGCTCTATATATATGTATATGTGCGAGAGGGCTGACAGTTTTATTCGCATTTCGTTTCAATAGACAGCTTTTGTGTCGAGTATACAAAACACGTGTCTTTATTGCCGAGCATTTGTCCTTTACATTTTTTTTTTTTTTTTTTTTTTTTAATATATCTGACTGTTAATGCCTTTATATACAGAGATGATTGCGTATAAGTAAAGACACCGATGGATATATGCCTTGAATGCGATTTTTCAGAATACTACATTTACAAGTAATTGGAAATTGTGATTTTTTTGATACTTCACGATTCTTGACTTTTTTTGTGAGAAAATATATACGAAAAATAGAATATTTATGAAAAGAGCCTCTAAATTATTATTTGAACATTTTTTTAAAGATAAATATTATTCGCAGCTTTCTAAAAGATTGCTTTGTTGTGAAACACATTTTGTGCCAGTGGCGTAGGAATCGATGAGGCAAGGGGTTGTTGTTACCCCCTCCCAAGTTTTTATGGAAATACGACAAGCAAATATGGTTTTGCCCCTCCAGAAAAAAATCGTTCCTACGCCTCTGTTTTCGATTGTTTTATTCTCACGTTGAAAAACAGGAAACTGTATACTCAATTGTAAAAACTTACATTAAGAGTTATTTAATCGTTAGTAAGAATAAAAAAATTGTTATTGATGTAATTGTTCAAAAAGCTTCATATATTGAATTGAATTTATGACAACAG